AATATCCCAAATGCTTCTTTCTCCGAAAACGTTGTACCTGTTCCATGGAAAGACATTAAAATAGTCCCTGTCCCTAAACCTGGAATAGCAAGAACGTAAAGTTCTGACCCATTGCCATCACTTCCCCGTTTCTAAAGCTCATGGAAAAACTAGTACTTCTTAAACTCGAACCCTCCCTTAAAAGCTTCGAAGACCCCAAACAATTTGCCTACAGACAGGGTAGGAGTACTTTAGACACTGCAGCCGTCTTACACAACAGTATTGTCTCATCATTAGACAAAGGTGCCAAATATGTCCGCTGCACGTTTCTTGACTTCACTTTTGCTTTCGACTCTGTACCTAGATGTCTCTTGCTAAATAAGCTTGGAGCCCTATGTTCCACTGGGAACGTGAAGGAAAAAAAATATATAATCACAAATATTTTAATTATTGGTTTTGGCAAGGATTTAGTTTGATTGGTTGGAGGATTTCAGCATGATCTGATGCTCGCTAGCGACTGGTTCTATTCAGGTAATTACATGGGGTTCTATTGAGAAGCTGTGACCAGCAGGGTACAGCAGGTTGAAGGTGAGGCAGTAACTCATCATCGAAGAAGACATTGCGAAGTGATCACGCTATGTAGTGCGTGAATTGACAGAAGTTAGAATTCTTGGACTGACCATTATTGGATTGGCGCGTCCCAGTGGCTGGCTGAGTAGTCTACGAGCTCGCTAGCCTTGTAACCAGAAGGTGCTGGCTGTCCAGTACTCTCAGGTGGTTTTCCAATGGTTCTCTTACAGATGTCAGCTAATGATGAACCCCCCCCCCCGCCCCGCAACCTTTTAATGCTCCTCTTTGTGGTTATGTAATGATGATATCGGTAATAGATTGTTTAACGAAATGAGATTGTTTGAGTGAATGAAGGTGATTCTGATCCGAGACTGTCTGTGCGAAGCGGTGGTGTGTGTGTGTATGATTCCACTTTGTTTGGAATATTCTCCTCGATTCTCAGGTACTTCACACACACGGTTGAATTTTGGTCAACTAATTTTCTCCTATAGTACTTGGTTTATATTTTGAGAACTAATTTGCTCTGTATGTATCTGCCTTGTTGATCAGTGTAGTGCTTATTTCAATTTATGCCATTTATTTTGTAAGTGATATTGATCGTTGCCGATGGGAGAAATTTTGAAAGATGTCAATTCTTCGACTGAACACTAACTGATGACATAAATCTAATCCTTTGTTTAGTGTAGACTGAATCTATCAGTTGAATTTGCGATGTGGCTGTGGCGTGCTAGTTGACTTGCCATCAAGGCTGTAACATTGTCTCTAACTTCAGCACTGGATGACATACGATCTCGAATCTTAGAAGGGATATGAGATGGTTCAAAAAATTGCAGATAAGCCTCACTGACTGATGATGATGATGAGTGCTGACAAGCGCACAAAACAAGCAGAAGTCTAAGGCTTCCTACTGACTGCCTCAAACCATCTTATAACAAGTAGTCGTTTCTTTCACTTTTTTTATAGGCAGCAACATTTCAACTACAGGCAGTTGGAATAGAATGAGGATGTCAAAACAAGTCAGGATAGGAAAGGCGACGAAGTTAAACTTTCGACACCACTAACTACCAATCAGCGAATTATCCAATGAGATTCACGAACGATGTCGAATCATCCAATGAGGTTCACGAACGCAGTTCAATGTTGTATAGCGCTTGATTCATTTCTAATGCGTGACCTTACAAGGCTATTGTTGCAATTCGTTGAGGTTAGTGTTTCCCAGTATTTCCTAGATTTGAGTTGCTCCGGAAAGAACGAATTTGATTGTGTGGTGGTATCATGACTTTAAAAAGCTATACCAAATCAACTGATGGGTTTGTTCATCGTTGTGCTATATGTTTGAAGCCTACTAACACTGGAGAGGGTAAGCTGATAATTTAAATATTTCGTGGGAAATTTTTCCGCTAGGTCACATCTCTCCCTAACCCAGATTTTGTGTATCTGCAATTACTGGGTGTTGAAACAGCCGGTGAGAGCAGCAGCTACCGAGACTGAGAATAGTCTTGTCTCAACAGTTTAGTGGTACCAGCATTGCAGAGATATTGCTTCGTGTAAAATAGAGACAATCACTTGTTTGCTGTGTGGAACCCGTTACGAGGACTCATACGAATTCCACTGAAGGTTTTTGGGGCCGCTTGAAAAACAAGATAAGGGCTATAAATGGATCTGAAAAGGATCTCATTTACAGCCGTTCAGATGAATATAAGTACAGGATGTGCTGTGACTTCGCCATTGACAGTCACATGCTAAACTGGGGGATGTTTCTTTCACATATTCGAGAAAGATACTCCTTGTAACCGTTTTATCCTTCTTTATGCTTTTTTTTTATAAATATGCGTTTCCATTCATCATATATGCCTATTTAATGTGATTGGTCCGTTCAAGGTCGTTTGCTGATTGGTTGCTAGTGGTGTCGAAAGTTTAAATTTGCCGGAAAGGCAAGACAGACATTCATCACTGGGAAATCTGTACTTCGTAGAATACAGAACAAAATTCGGATTTTCAACACCAATTATAAGTCAGTCAGTACTTGTGTATGGGTCAGGAACGTGGCGTGAGAGTCTCGAAAAGCATTTCTTACAGGTTACTGAAGGCTTTTATCAACATCTACCATCTTCACTGGCCCCAAGATCAGATGACCGCTAGTGGGAAGGAATTAGCCACAAGGATTTCTGTGAACGAACCAATTAAGAACCTATTAGACAGTTGGAGGCAATTGGCAGGAAGCCGTACCTAATTTAAGTTTCTTGCTAGTTGGTACTCATCAGTCATCAAGGCATATCTGCAACTGTCTTGAAGGAACAACTCATGTCCTTTCTGAGATCTGAACTCGCGTCATCAAATACTGCAGTCACAGACAATGTTACCAATGAGCTAGCTAATTCGGCCTCGTGATTGACCTCCTGTATGACTGCATTGAATACTTTGATTCGACACTAGTAAATAGTGTGATGTGTCTAGTCTTTTCTTTGGTACAGACTGAATTCATCATCAAATCAATGTGCACTGTGATGGCAAGTTACCTAGAGGCATTGTGGCCACATTGCAAAACCTGACTAACTGATAGAATTCAGTCTACCCAAACAAACAAACAAACAAAGGACTAGACACATCACACTAAGAACTAATTACTGAACAAAATATTCTGAAACAAATGGATATGGATTGGGCAAACATTCTGAGGAGACCTTTGGGTGACATCTCGCATGCGGGGGCCAACACTTAAGTGGAACCCGAGTGGGAGACGACCACGGGTTGGACGTAGGTGAAAGCTTGTGCAGCGAAATCATTAGGCCAGTCAGATGAAGAGGACTGCAGAGGATAGGACGAAATGGGGATGTCCTGTTGAAGCCCTATATTCCACTGGTAACCCAAGGGGATAATAACAATCTCTATCATTTGTGCACGTAATTCATTATTATTATTATTATATTCGTCATGATTTATCTAGGAAGCACGCTTTCAACCATAGGTAGTCGGAATGTATGGAGATGTCAAAGCCAGTCAGCCAGCCAGAATCGAAAAGGCGAGATACGTCTTCATCAACCTGGAACCATTCTGGAAACCTTCTACACTCACTTACTGATATGTATCCACGTATATATATATATATATATATATATTTATATGTGTGTGTGTATGTTGGTCTCTCTTTCTATTTGCTCGCTTAGTCTGTGACCATTTCACTTGTATGAACTTATCTCCTTTAATAATGTATATTCTCCTTATATTATATTATATATAATATGAGTGTTTGTTGACAGTCCGTTGCTTGGTGACATATATCCATATATGGTGGTTGTTGACATGTCTGCTATATTTCGCTATGTATATATGGATCGATACTTCATTATAATTAGCCATTCATGTTAAGACTATCTAATGATTTGTTCACACCCTTTGTCTGGACATTCATATATATTTCGCTCTCACAATTTTGTGTGACTTACTTCACTTACTTACTTACTTACTTTTGGTGTGATACCACTTTTGCATTCTCCTTGTGTTTGGAAAATAGAAGTATCATCGCAAACCTAGTGGTCTTCTGATTTCCGCCTTCTTGCGTCAGGACTATTAGATTCTCGACCAGTCCATAACAATAATTTAGCGACGAGTACATAACACTTACTCATCAGAAAGAACAAGATTCAGATTCTGTTCAACACAAATGTGGAGTCGGCCAGCCAGCCAATTAGTCAGTCACTGCTTCTATACAGGTTAGAGACCTGCACTGTGCAAAAGTTTTAGACTAACATCAACAGCTGCCCACTTCGCTTGCTGACTTCATACTGAAGATCAAATGGTCGGCAATAAGAACCCCTGACTGGGAACAGACCAACACAGGCAAGAGCCGATTGCTCAGCGAATATGTAAGAGAAAGTGGAGTTGGATGGATCGGGTATACATCCCTAAGGAGGCCATTGAAAGACATCGCGCCATCCTTCAGACCATTGCTTGAGTGCAAGGTGAATGGGAAGCAACGAATGTGTTGTCAGCGCTAGTGTGATATGGAGGAGATCGTGCGAGGAAGGGTAGGAGGAGATGACAGATGATGATGAATCGTGGAGTTAGCCAGTTGAATAGGAGAGCAGAAAGCAGAACAAAGTGGAGATGTGTTGTTGAATAATAATATGATAATATATTCGACATGCAAGTGGTTATCATGTCTGCTTTAAACGCAGAAGGTCCCTGGTTCATACCCGGGCTGAACCAGGCTCTTAGTGAGCCGGTGGCATAGCGGTTACGATGCTCGCCGACCAATGTACATGGTCCAGGGTTCGATCCCCGATCACAGACACACTCTTTTACCTCGTTAAGCAGAAATAATGGTGGTAAAAAGGAAAGGTTGGGCATGAGGCTAGCAACCCCATCCTGTAAAATAAACACTGCTGGAGGCTTGAAGCCCTATGTTCCCCTGGGGAACGCGAAGGATAAAATAATAATAATAATAATATATTCGACATGATTTATATAAGTCAATCGATCAATCAATGATCAAAGAGGAAGATCAATTAGAAATTCTACAATAATCACTAGGTTTTATGTATATAAAAATGTCAAATAATAATAATAACAACAATAATATGGATGACGTGTTGCATAATTCATCAAGCAGCTGTAGAACTCATAAATGATTTCGCCGGTTTTATGTAGTAAACAGATTCTGGTATCTCAATTTCTTGGAATGTTGACAAGAATGCTGTTGTCACCTGTTAAATGGTAAATAAAAAATAGCCTTGATGAATATTTATTGATTTATATAAATAAATAAATTAATTAATTAATTCCTTAATGAGGCTGATTAAAAATAAATTTCAAAGTATGAATTTTCTATAGTTTGGTTTGTAAGGGTTAGTTTTACTTCTACGAGTTGATCACGGATTGATAACATCAGTTAGAGAACCATTGAAAACCAGCCACACGGAGTACTGGACAGCCAGCTGTTTCATCAGCCTAGTTTGGGACTCTTCACAGTACGCACCCACTATGGGGGTTCGAACTCAGGGCCTTCCGGTTATAAAGCAAGCTTGTGGATCATTGAGCCACTTGGATCTGATTCAATGACCAGTCCATAAATTCTAACTTCTAACAATTCGTGATTTAGCTATCCGAGTGCTGGTTTCCAATGGTTCTCTAACTGATATCAATCACTGATCAACTCGTAAAAATAGTATGAATTATTGAATGAGTGGACGAGGAATATTCTCTTCGATAGCTTCTTCATCATCAGGTTCTATAGTGATATATGGGTTCACGATGTCAAGTTCTGGTTTGAAAGGATTTGATAGGTCACAGGATTAGTTATGAGGTGACATCAGTTAGGGGACCACTGGAAAGCCAACATAGAGTAATGGATATCTGTTTTCTTCCAGTTTGGGACTCTTCATCAGTATTCACCCACCACAGGAGTGTGAATCCAGGACTTTCCAGTTACAAGGCTAAACTCGTAGACCATTTATAGTCACCGGGACCCCACTCATTGGCGCGTAAATTGCAACTTCTACCAATTCGTGACATTAGCGCGACTGTCAGCAGCCAATGTCATCGTTAGCGAGTATATGTCCTCACTCCCGACAGGGTGGACGACACCCGCTGGGCATAACTTCCCACTAGAACTCTAGTCAACTAACTTCGTCTTGTAGCCAGTCACCAGCGAGCCTTATGGGTGATTTGATCGGGTCCCAGTGACTTTGAATGGTCTACGAGCTTGACTGGTAACAGTAATGTCCTGGTTTCGAATCCCACCAGGGTGAGTGCGTACTGTTAAAGCGTTCAGAACAACAAGGATGCAACAGGTGGTTGTAAATTTAGCTGCTCCTGCGGAGAAAGCTATATAGGGCAAATAACTAAACAGCTCAACAAACGTATCAATGAGCATCTTCTTTAATGGTTCGGAAAAGGTCAAAAATAAAATCTATAAGAAGTTCTATTTTGCCTCATTTGACTGATGATAGCGGTCACCAATTGGATAGGAGAAATGCCTTCAGAGTTATCTCTCGGCATTCAGTCGAACCTTTCGAACGGAATTCAAACTCGCCTTATACACATAGTCGAAGCCGTGGGAATCAATTCGGCAGCACGACTCTAGTCTTTGCATACTGAAGAAGTTCGTTCTATTTGTGTATCTCCCTTGGCCTAGGTAAATTCTAATCAGAAGAAACCTCCCACCCTATCTTATTCTCCACTTCCTTCGTATTTTTATGATATTTATTTAAAATCTGATTATCTGTCCACTTCACCTACCTTTAGTATAACGTAACTTTTAAGATTTGACCTAATTCATCGATTAATTGAATTGTCTGAATATACACATATTACTTACTTTGTTATTCTTATCGCCCCACCTGTATAAACCTCATTATAAATATTTTGTTATCATGACAATCACAGTTATTACTAACGTCCAAAACAATTAACACATTATTATTATAACTTGACCTACAAGCTCTTTGTCACTGGTTGAATTTTTATATATAAATCTATGTAAATTAGTGTAAAGTCTGAAGTAGATCTAATTGAAAACAACAGTAATGTTCGCTTATATGTCTTGTTCTAACATCAATAATGGAAAAATTTAAAAAAAACCTATTGCAAGTCTTAAAATTTTCAGTGTACATTTGGTAACTACTTAAACGTTTGTAAGTAGTTAAAATATAAATGGAAAGTTTTGGTGTCGTAACAAATATGTGAAGGGATGGGCATACTTCAAGTATTATGCAACAAGGATTCCTTAATTTTCAGTGGTTCTTCTCTCGATTTTAAGTGAAACAAAGTTTTTAAAGAAATTCATTTTCAAGATATCTATCTAACCAAACAGTCAATGGACGAATGAGCATAAAAGCAATCGCCTAGAGCAAATTTACTTCCCTTCCATTTCGGTTTCTATGAGAGGTGGTTAACTACAATTCAAATTTCCTTAGGTATTTGGTATTATGTAATTCGGTGTTACATGTATAGAGGAATACGGCAATCATTTCAAATTGGGTATGTTGAACTGTTTGTTTTAAAGGTGTTTGATCGATTTTTGTCTCACACAACTAGTATATCTTTAGTAGTTGGTTTGTAAGGATTAGATTTGTTTTTATGAGTTGGTCACGGATTGAAAATGTCAGTTAGAGAACCATTGAAAACCAGCACTGGAGTACTGAATAGCCAACTGTCTCATCCTAGTTTTTGGGAATCATCGGTAGTACACACCACCACACTGCAGGGGTTCGAACCCAGGACCGCCCAGTTACAAGGTAAGCTCGTATACCATTCAGCCCCTGGGACACGGCTCAGTGACGAGTCCATGAATTCTAACTTCTACCAATGCATGATTTAGCGCAACCACTAACCAATGTCATTGGTGGGAGATCCATTGGGTCCTTCTAGTCAAGTGTGAGGATGGATGAGTTAAGACACTTAACACTCAGTCCTGTGACAATCAAAAGACTCAACAACGAAAGAAGATAAAACCAACATCATCTACAAAATAAGTTGCAACGACTGTGAAAAGCACTACGTTGGCCAAATGGAAGCCCCTCCTCTTCGTCTTCATATCCATGATCATTAGCTAGCTGTCAAAATACATGACATCCACTTCCTCGCTCATATCACTCACTGCATACAAACAACCACGGACATCAATTCGACTGAGACAACCAACGTTCAAATATTAGACAGAGGAAACACCAAGAGTGCCAAAGAGTTTTTAGAAGCCTATCTGGTATTCCACTGAATCGTCAGTCAATAGACACTTCAAGACAGACAAAATTTACCGATCGACAAGAAGGAAGTCTCACACACACAAAGGGGCAACAACTTCAGGTCAAGGAAATGATCAGCACCAGTACAAGTAGCCTGGAGGGTGTGAAGACATACAAAAATAACCAATCATGTTCAAGGTCATTCACCAGGAGAGATGACTGATGAACGCGTGGAGAAGTCCGAAACCTCACTTCAAATTGAAGTGTGTATGCGTTGAAGACGTTGCCTAGTAGGGGGCAATGAAAGCTTCACAGCTATAAACTATCCAGTTAGCTTAGAGAATACAACTACATCAAAATCATCCACCCTGAGCTATCAATCTTCTTCACCATATCTGATTGAAGTGTCCTTGTAAAAACCAGACAACCCTGACGATTGTTTGGAGTCGAGCTCAACTAGCTTAAGTAACTAGCCAGAGTTTGAGTGGTTTGAAGTGACTTAGCTTTCTAAGTTTGAGTCATATTGGGTCACCTGCCGATGAACTCGGTCCTGAATGAGTGAATTGGCCATCAGGCTGTTTAGGTTATTTCAGTCTGACGGGTTAGCTGGCTAGCAAGTACTTACTACTTTTTGATATGACTGACATCTAACTACTCATCTTAACCAATCAGTAGTATATATATAATATCATCAAAACCAATTTGCACCATGATGGCGAGCTATCTAGAATGGTAGCTGTTATGTACTCGTCGCCAAATTATTGCTATGTACTGGTCGAGAATTTAATAGTCCTGACGCAAGAAGGCGGAAATCAGAAGACCACTAGGTTTGCGATGATACTTCTATTTTCCAAACACAAGGAGAATGCAAAGAGTGGTATCACACCAAAGTAAGTATAAGTAGGTGTAAGTAAGTCAGTCACACAAGATTGTGAATGCGAAAATATATATGAAATGTTCAGACAAAGGTATGAACAAATCATTAGACAGTCTTAACATGAATGGCTAATTATAATGAAGTATCGATCCAAATATACATAGCGAAATATAGCAGACATGTCAACAACCACCATATATGGATATATGTCACCAAGCAACGGACTGTCAACAAACACTCATATTATATATAATATAAGGGGAATATACATTGTTAAAGGAGACAGGTTCATACAAGTGAAATGGTCACAGACTAAGCGAGCAAACAGAAAGAGAGATCACCATACACACACACATATATATATATGTGGATACATATCAGTAGCCACATTGCAAACCTTGCTGATAGAATTCAGTCTACACCAAAGAACGGACTAGACATATTGCACTAGTTACACTTGTGTCCAATCAAACTACCCACTACAGTCCTACAGGAGGTCAATCGCGAGCCAGTCCGAATAGCTCAGTGGTAACGTCTCTGACTGCAGCACTGGCTGGTGACGCGGTTTTGAACCTCAGAAGGGAAATGAATTGTTCCTTTTAGGCAGTTGCAGATACGCCTTGCTTACGAGTGCCAACTAGCGCGATGCCTAGGTCAGGTGAGGCTTCCTTTCAATTGCCTCCAACCATCTACTATATAATATCATCCAGCTATTCTGTAATAGTCTATAACTGTCACAAAAACCTTAAATGGAAGAATATCTTAATTCTTTTTCTTTTTTATGAGTTTGATAAAAAGCGTAACTCACCTCTTCATCTGGAAAACATTGTCCTAAAATTTCTAACAGTAGTGCATTATCTTCAACAGCTTGTTGAAAATCGGTAAAATTCAATCTTCCATCATGATCCACATCCTAAAAACGCATAAAAGAAAAATCAATGATTTCTATTGATTATTTCTAATTACTCATCATATAAAAAGGAGGGAGGATTAAATATGGACACAATGAGAGAACTATGAAAAAAGGTTACTTCCTTCACTTAACTGGCTGGCTAGGAAGCATCGTTTCAACACCTTGGGCAGTCGGAAAGGGTGAAGATATCAAAGCTAGACAGAATTGGGAAGGCAAGGTACACACCTTCATCAATCTGAAATCTGTTTGTAAATCTTCTGCAATCTGCCTCAGCATAAAGAACAAGATGTGAATTCTGTTCAACACCAATGTTAAGTCAGTTAGTCAGTCAGTCAGTTCTTCTAAACGGGTTAGAAACTTGCACTGAGCGTCAGTAACGAAAAGGATTTCCAACAGCCTCATGCAGATCTTTATCAACAGTTGTCCACTCCACTGGTTGACTCCATAGTTAAGATCAAATGGCTAACCGGTCGACCAGAAAGAATTAACAACAAGAAACTCTGGCTGGGAGAACAAGCCAACAAGCAAGAGCCGATTACTCAAAAAAATATACAACTTTCATGAGTCACCTTTTTCATGTTTAGAAAACTCTACTCTCTCATCTAAACACGACTCACCCTACCTTGTTTCTTTTGTTTCGTTTTCTCTATTGGCTATTAGATAAGACGTTTTCTTTGGTTACGTAATCTACTTTTTTGTTACGCTCCTTGTAGCTAAACCTTGTTTCTGTACACACACATATATGCGCAACCGGTTTTTTGGTTTCCAAGCCTAATTGTCTAATTATTCTGTAAATAGTCAGTATTTGTAACTCTTAATTAGTTAAATCATTCCGGACTAATGTTACTTTTACTTCCTACCAACCAATTACTCCTTGTGATCATGGAAAAGTATGTTCAAATCTTTGATGTAATTCATGCATCTTTTATCGTTCAGGTTTTAATCAGTTGAGAAGAATCCTCGAAATAATAATTAAAAGATGAGCTCATATTATCCTGGTACATACAATTGTTGTTCTTGCTTTGTTCAAACCATCTGATTGGTCGAGTCAAGGTCACTTGACTTTGATGTCTATTGTTTACTCTTGTCGAGTTAGGATTAAGGTTAGGGTGAGGCTTGTCTTTAGTAAATAGTTGTCGATCCTCTAACTGGAACTCATGCTAATTCAATCAAGGTCTTTCAGGGAAGATTGAAAAATATGATAAGAGCGATAAATGAGTCACAGAAAGAAGTCATCATCTTCAGTTACCTCGGTGAATACATGCAAATAAAGTGGTCTAACTTGAAAACTAATACTCCTCATTATAATTTGGAGGTATTTTAAAGTTATATGTCAGGGAGGGGAATCTATCCTATTTGATGTATTTCTCTTGTAAATAAACATCCTTTTATATGCAAAAACCTTTGCAGTTCCTCATTGGTCGGCTGAAGGTTATCCGCACATCCCCTTTCCATGGACCGTGTCATCATCTCACTTTGCCTACTGCACTAATGAAGTACACAAATATTTAATAATGTTGTAAAGGTTTAAAACAAGTAGCCAGATTAATTCTTACCAATCGTTTAAATGTGATTTCTACTAATTCTCTGACTCCTTCATCAGGATCTTCGTCTGTTGGTTGCTATAGCAATAAAAAATAAACAGAAATGATAGAAAATATTAGGATTGGCATCCCCTTGTTTTAAAATTTACACTTATAATTTACTATGTCACTATTAGAAGTATTATTTTTCTATACTTTCCGGAAAAATTAAGCTAGAAATGAGTTTTCAAGGGGGCAACAGGAAACGATAAACACCACAGTCAAATGACCTTGAACCAACCAATCAGATGGCTGCCCAGCATTACAAATGGATGTTTTGTGATAATTTCCGTCGCAAGTTTTACCATAACTTTAATCATAACCCTACCTAAATCCTATCCTAAACTTAAATCTGAATCAGAATGGGACTTGCAATGAGAAGACTATGAAAGGCATCCATTCTGAATGATTTGATTGGTTGATTCAAAGTTGTTTGACTTTAGTGTATATTTTCTATAGTTTGGTTAGTAAGGGTTAGTTTTGTTTTTACGAGTTGATCACGGATTGATGATATCAGTTAGAGAACCATTGAAAACCAGCTGTGAGAGTCCTGAACAGCTGTTTCATCCTAGTTTGGGAATCATCGACAGTACGCAGTTCTGTTGCCGAGGCAGCCACATAGGGTTTCAATTTTCGGCTTCAAAATCTCAACAGCAGTATCGTTTTCTTCACTGGATGGTGTTACTAGCTTCACAGCCTAATTTTTCATTTCTCTACCGGCTAAACGAAGTTCAGGAATGCGTTGGCTGGGATTCGATCCCAAACCACTTGATTGGTTGGAGAGCAATCTACCATTAAACGACCAAGGCACAAGTGTGTGATAGAGGTAGGATTCGAACCTATACCCTTTTCCACCAGCTAGAAATTAGGTACTGACATAATTTCAGAATAAATAAATATACAGGGTTAGGTGTAGCTCTTCAACCCTATCTAGATGAATTGATCAAGTTATCTAAACTTTAGAGTGTGGAAATTCACTCCATCAAGTACTGTAGTCGATACACACATGGTTCATTATAACTTGTCTAGTTTATAATAGACCAAATTGAATTTAACATAAAGGACTATTATTATCAAGCAAGATGATCTAGGTTTCATAGTTAGTCATGATCTAAAAGCTGTCTGTCTGTCTGTCTGGATTCAACATAGAACTTGGCACCGAAGTGCAGCAGTTCGAGTTGCCACGTTCCAAATAGCCCACAGAGGTAGACAAGAAGATGAGTGAAGAGAATTAATAGAGTTTGACAAGTATAAGAGTGAAACAGAATGGGTAATGGTAGAAAGGAATATGAAAGATTACAGAGACTGAATACATCTGCGCTGGCCATTGACAACGATTTTGAGCCATGTCACCTATTGTCTCCAGCCATTGATTCCTAGAGTCCCGAGGGCCCCAACCCGGGAGTCTGCATCTCCCTACCTGACTCAGTTTAACTGTCAAGGATTTCATGGATTGATGACATGTTTTTGTTTGGCCACCACTGGCTCTTTTCCAACCTGAACCTATATCAGCTAGCAATGCCCGTCGGGGGAGGCGGTGGTTAGGCATGCGCAGCACGTGACCTAGCCATCTTAGTCTATGTAACTTTATAGCTGTAGCACAATATCACGCGGTGACAGCTCTCAGTTTTACGCCCCCCCACCCCCTCTATGGACAGAATCATCAATGAAACGTTCACCACTTTATATACATTTACGTTGAGGTGAAAAGTAGGAACTGTGTCCAGGCAGCTAGCCCTTATTTCAAGAAGGGATCATATTTTCAACAAAACATTCAAAGAAAGAACTTGTGCATGATTCCGGTTAAGTTCAACCGACCAAAAGAGGAAAGAATTAACAGTCTAATATCTCTTCTACTCATATAATATCAAAGTCTGAGAGCAGATCTCACCACGGCGGTGTTCAAAAAATTGCAAGAAATGACTATAGGCCTCCTATACCTTCTATTTTTCTTTCCACCAGACAGGAACATCTCAAAGGGTAGAATAGAAGAGTTCAATAGCCAAGGAGGAACTACAACATAGCGGTGAAGTACTGGTCCTCATTTTGAATTTTTGACTTTCGATATCAACTCCTAGAAGAAGAAGAAGAAGTGGAATCTGTACCGTTAGTCATGTCGTCCAAGAGGGGATCACAGATAATTCCGGATACTTATTGTGGTAAAAATCAACAGAGGCTTGAACTTTCCTATCTGAATATAGAAGCCTCTCAGTTCGATTGATCTTAAATTTTTTGACGGATAGAATTGAGAGAAGCCTTTAGGTGAATTAAAGGCCAGGTTAGAGAAAGGCGAAAAAGACCTCAAGCTAATGGGTTTTCGGGTGACGCTACTGAGACCTATCTCCATAAGCCAGATGAACAGTTAGGTGTTCCAGTGTGCTATATGATGAACGCATGTAGCCTTAGGAATAAGCTGGCCGAATTAGGAGAATTTTGTGAAAGACTACAACCTGATGCAATTGCTATCACTGAGACACGGGTACAACTACATTAGAGAGGACAGTGTAATTAGTCGGTAAAGTGGCGGGGTTGCCCTGTACATCAGCTATGATATAGGGATTAGGTCAACGCCGTCAGAAACACATGATAGCGGCACTAGTGAAGCCGCAAGTTGTATCATTAACTTGAACAAGGGCAATTTAACGATCGGGGTTATTTACAGAAGTCCTGTCAGCCAAGCTAATGACTTCGTTCTAAATCACTTGAGGGTGTGGAGACGTAGAAATAGGTGTCTGGTTGTAGGTGACTTTAGCGCTCCACATATTAATTGGGGGGGGGGAATTAGAATTCACTAGTTTGTATACCTGTTTCAATAGGAGCCCACACACTGACAGTGCTTGAATGTGCACTCGTGTAACACATGCATACACCAACACGGTATCACTCTGAACATGATCTGCCTACTCTAGACTTGGTACTAACACACTAAAAGGAGGACGTTGGTAACATTAGGTGCCTTCTGCTGCTTAGCAGCAGTGACCACGTCATCATTACTTTTATGCTTAAGATTCATTCTCTCGTATACAGGTCAACATATGCTCGTCCAAACATTTGGAAGGCGGATATACCGGGGAATCCCGAACGCAACAGCTGTAGCTGACTGGTCAGTTGATACAGGTCGGACTGTCGAGGAAGCTTGGGTAGGATTTAAGAATACACTAGATTGTGTCACTTCACCTTTTGTACCTTGGTACACTCCTCGAAAGCTATCGCACAAGCCATCTTGGATTACTAGTGAAATAAGGAGGCTATTGAGACGGAGGAAGAACTTATGGGACCAATTTATTATGACAGGTAGGGAAAATTTCCAGAAGGACTATCGCTAACTTCGAAATCTCTGTAAGTATGTGATTGACAAAAGTCGTATAGAGTACGAGAGACAGCTAGTGCTGGACTGCGTTCATTACCCAAAAAGGCTGTACTCGTATATTAAACGTAGGACTAAAACTAACAGTGGTAAAGCGTCACTCATAAGCATTAGTGGAGAAGCGGCTGAGTCAGGCGAAGGAAAGGCTGAAAACCTCTCTGAATACTTCTGTGACGTCTTCTTGTCCGATCATACCACCCAGGGATATGGCGAGGTCACTGCCATCGCCACTCAGATGCCCTCAATTGTGGTAGAGCACACAAAGATCTTCAAGCTACTGCCTAAACTGAAGCCAGGTAAATCACCTGGGCCCGATGGAATTCACCCTTGGCGGATATAATATATATATATTTCACTTACAGAGATTTTCTGAATGTCTTTAACCCAGGCTAAGCTACCCAAGGACTGGAAGGATGCTATTTTAAGCCCTATCTTCGAAGAGGGGAACAGGCAATCGGTATCTAACTACCGGCCTGTAAGTCTGACATGCATTATAGCAAAGGTATTGGAAACAATTATAAGGGATCCGCTATTATCTCATGTGGAAAAACATGGCTTGCTGGCAGTGGAGCAGCATGGATTCCAATCAAGACAATCCTGTCTGACAAACCTACTATTGGCTAGGGAAGACTGGGTTGAGGCCAGGGATAAAAACCGTCTGTTGGACGTGGTTTTTATTGATCCTAGTAAGGCATTCGATAAAGTATCCCTTTTAGGTCTCCTTAGTAAACTTTAAGGTTTCGGACTAGTCCACTGCCTATGTGAGTGGTTTAGGGATTACCTAACGGATAGAAGACAGGAGGTTAGAGTTAACGGTGTACTACCAAGATGGAAAGCTGTATCCAGTGGAGTGCCTCAGGCAACTGAACTAGGCCCCTTGCTACTCCCACTATGCGTCAATTAACTACTGGGATTCTTATTTCATCTTCGTTATTATTTGCAGACGACATTAAGATCTGGAAAACTGTAAATAACAACGAGGACAGGTCGGCCCTACAAACTGATCTAGATAAATTAGCTGAGTGGTCGAACCTATGGAGTTTGGAAATTGATTCTAGGAAAAGCGTGGTAATGCGCTTAGCTCAGAAGTCTTACACCTCGTACTCCCTAGAGGACAGAGAACTACCTGATGCTAACGGACAGAAGGACCTAGGAATCATTGTCAGCAATGATTTGAAAACAACTGCAAATTGCAATGCAGGTGCAGCTAAGGCTTTTCGAATACTCTGGGGACTTCGAATGGCTTTCAAACGATTAGACGAGGGTATGTTCCAAATACTCCACGCAATATATGTCAGGCCTCATCTAGAATACTCCATACAAGCGGCGAGTTCATGCTTCAAAAAAGAGGCACATATCCTGGAAAGAGTAGAGAGTAGGAACGATATTAGTTAGTAGTATCTCACACCTTACTTATGATAAGAGGATGGTGCATTTAAATCTCTTTCCGTTACCATACCGAAGGGCGAGAGGCGACTTAATTTCAGCATACCGTATACTTAAGCGTGATTTAGCAACTGACTTTTCTAACCTTTTCTCCCCTTCTAGGAGACATTTACGGGGTCACCGCAAAAGGTGCTCGAACCGAGGACGATTAAAATACATGCCGAATTTGGATTCTCTCACAGAGTGGTCAACGACTGGAACTCCTTATCTGATTCAGTAGTATCAGCTCCATTGGTGAATGCTTCCAAAGAGAAGTTAGATCTCTGCAGAGATATATTTTGCAAGGATTAACACAGGCCACAAGAGCCTTCCATCCTTATTACCTGAATCTGACTATAGGAGTCAGTCTTGGTTTCAAGCGCGCTGGTAAGACACGTAAGTGTTGTTGCATAACGAAGACGAGCACAATGGAACGGGACATTCAAAGGAGGTTTCCAAATCAAGACCATATTACTCAGAACAAAATGCCAGTGATAATAGCAAAATGTAGTTTGATATGAACATTTGTGCACAGTTGATACACAACTAATGTACCTTTTCCTACAAAAATGCTGGAAAATTAACCAAACAAACGTTCCATTGGACCATAAAAACTTAAGGATTTGTTTAAAACTAAGGGAAAATTACTTTTATGAGTGAGTACTTCAATAATTGGAACATTTCCTCCCTGGTTATACGACCGTCACTGTTGAGGTCGTAGACTTCAAAAGCAACTAAAAGAGTTAGCATGTTTATCAAATTTTACATTTGGTTTTTTCTAACAGTGTTCCTCTGAGAAATGTTGAGAGACCCATAACCCATTCTTGAGCATTAACACCACCGTCAAGATCTCTATCAAAAACACGAAAAACTGAAGCGATGATAACAAACATCACACAAACTTCTGTCAATCATAACATCGTCTGTCATCTTAAATGTATGATGTAGTATTTCGCGAAACTTCATTCGATCTAACTTTCCAAAAGGCTTTTTGGGATCGAACTTCACAAACATATTAAGCAAGGCCTCACATTCTGCACGAGTGACTAGATTGAATAATTGGGCGACATCTTACAGTTCACACTGCTGGCAAGCTTGTTTGTGAGCTTATTGATAGCTTTTCTAATAGAAATTTCAAGCATATTATGTTGCGCGGTTTTGTGTCCAGGCAACAGATTTAGAACATCAACGTTTTAAACAACATAAAATATTCAGTGTTTTGTGCAGACCAACCAACCTTTTCGTGAGAGCATATCAGGATCTCATTGAAGACAGTTCAGCCATTTACTTAGCGTAGTTCTGATAAATGTTTGAATTAACGCTCATGAGGAGAGTGAGACAAGTGAAGTTTACAGAAGATTAATACTCTAATGCTGACACTGAAACATCGTAATGACCTCATCCAGTCGTATCAGTAAATGTACTAGTGGCTTTGTCAAAGAAAAACAGTTTGGATAGGACAAAAATGGTTTGTTACTTGAGATGGTTAGATCCATTGAATGGTAACATTGCTTATAATGAAACAGCAGAAGGACAAATAAACAGCTAAAAGAGTAGTGAGTAGATAAATTACTACTTAGAGGAGAGCTAGAAAGAGTAAAAGAGATGGAGTCTTCGCACATAACAATGATAGGGAAGGTGAACCAGCTAAACAGCTAGCACCTATCCAATGTTGTTGTAGAGGAAACGCTAGATGTGGGTACACTCCTATTTCCTCGGAGTGTCTGTTAACTTAATGTTACCTAGTTTTCGTTCCTGATTGTAGATATTATGGTTTTTTGGCCAGGTTAGTGGCTGGATACTAAGTCACACGACTTGCATGGTCACTATGACCGCGGATCCTGATACAACATACAGTGTGGGGGGATATTTTTCACAGTATGTCAACCAGAAAATAATAATAGTATGCTATAATGTACAGAGAGTTATTCAGGGGGGAGAATCAGACAGAGGTCTAAATATTGACCCAATATAATTTAGCAGGCATTATTTGAAGAAGACAAAATCTACTGATATATGTAGACTCTCGTGTAATGCATTCCAGCAGCCCCAAATTCGAAGAAAATTTGAAGTGGCAACACAATCGCTTGAAAAGCTCACCAGTTCCCAGTCGTTATTATTAAAATCTGAATACCATAGCTCTGCTGAAGTTTTTTCGACGAACACGGAAAGACAGCTCCAGTGAAGACAATTTTCTATTCGACGAAATCATCAACTAAGCTGTACATTCGTGTATTTATAATAAATGGGTAGGAAAGTTCCAGCATAATTTCTGGAATATAGAAAGATCGAAGTCACAGTGCAATCTGTCGTCGTACCAAGGAAAGCTCGTGTGAACCAACTTAATTTTTGGCGAACCACTTCTTGGTTTTAAGGTAAATGCTCCTATTTTCATTCAGCTTCTATGTGGTTTGTTCCGCCGCCCAACTACTGTGAACTTCGACTAATTCAGACAGGTGCGATGCGTTTGCATTATACGCTTCGGTAGGACCGCGCTTCTGCTATGAATGGAGTTAATCCTTTCATCTTCTATCTTTCAGGTGTAGATGAAAAGGGGATAATGATATGACCAGTGGAGATTATATATTCTAAGAACGGTAAACGAGCTAACCAGGGGATAGATAATAAAATTTATTGATTATAAAGTATGTGAGCGAATAGTTACAGTAGTCAGATGAGTGAGATTAGAGAGCATGCGGGATGATTTTGTGTCATACCCATTGACAGATTGCGATCTGTGAGTTTCAAGAAGAAATTCTATCCAGAAACAGTACTTGTTTTACCGCACGGCGACCCACACTCTGCTTGCAGATGGTGATTTTTAGGACGGAAACTTCTGGGAGAAATGGAACGGAAACAATTTCGAGTCTTCGTTCCCCGATGCGTGATTCTTCGTAGGATGCCACAAAGTAGTGTTCAATATCTGGACGGTGGGATATCTCTGTTTAGATGGTTCTGATCACTTGTCATCTGGTTGACTGACGGTAGGTAAATGTGCAAAGCAGTAGTTTCCACGGCCTTTTATCGTGTGATACGTTCTCGAAAGACATTATGCGTGACTAACAGTACACGTAATTGAAATGTCACTCTATTTTCCTGTCCATCGATTCTTCGTAAACTCCCATTTGAGAGTCTTCTGGGTACCGTTTAATTTTTTGATTTCAGCTTGATTCCACACCGTACTTTTTGGTACAGGTATGGAATTTTCAGGATGTGATGTCGGCAGCCCAAATTTCGCAGACTGACCATAGGTATTAGGTGTTTGTCGGCAGGGGATCGAACCCTGGACCATGTGCATGGTCGGCGAGAATCCTAACCACCGTGCCACCGGCGCCCAACAACTGATAAGATTACTTCCCTATCATTGAACGCTAACTCTGAGACACCTCGAAGGTTTATATTTCTCGACAACGCTAAAATAATTGAGTCGGAAGTCAGCGTGTAAACCGTCTGAATATGCACAATCCTGATCTTTAAACAAGTAAAAAGACAACCGTATCTCTTACTTGAATCCACTCCTCTCTTCGCTCCAAGAATTCTAAACAAGTCGATGCCGATACACCCATAGGGATAATTTCCTTTAGACACTTTCCATGTATTGCCATGATTTGTTGAGATAGACGAGCATTTTGCCGCCTACATATCACACATTTATCAAACACTTTCGAAAAGTAGAGCCTCCTTCTATTATCCGATATATCTCTGATGCATGAAAGTACTTATAGGGAACCCTTATCACCCTCCAGGCCGTGCTAGTGTGTCAATGAGAGCGTGGTGACTGGCTAATTGCTTCGAATTTAGCCTGTGTCACGAGTTTCACACAATGCTTCTAACATTTGTAGACGTCCACTTACTCCGGCAACTCTCTTTGAAATTATAGGAGCTAATCTCTCTATCCTTGGACTGAAATCTGTGAATTCACTACCATCTCCCTCAATAATGTTACCCCATGCCTCCCACCGTGCCGTCTCCAACTTCAACAATTCTGAATTACGTATGTCCAACTCTCAATGGTTTCACGTTCATGTCGCTGTATGCTGAAGGATACGTGGTTCTCAAATGCATGATATTCCTAGAGAACTGTCTGGCAGCCTCCATTAATTTATATTAAGAAGAATAATATTCATATAGTGGATGCAGACCCGTATACCTCCCTTCCGTGCACATCAACTTGAAGACGCCTTCATATATTCGTGGCCTATCTTCTGGACCAGGCTATACATAGTCTGCAAGTCGCGAGAATCCCGGACCCTTCCACCACCTATTCTTTCCTATATTCGTATCAGTAACTCCCATTCATGTTATGTCGGCGGGGTTTCTTCTAGACAATACATAACTCCATTAGGCGACACCTGTTGGTTCAAAAATTCCAGATACTCTATTAGCCAAAATACATACGTATTATTTTGGCTGCCTAAGTATAAAGCATATCAGTGTAATGGAATCGGTCCAGAATGTTTCAGTATGCATAAGATATCCAGATAGTCAGGAGGCCAGCAGTGAGCTCTAGACTTGGAATGGAAACAGTCCTTAAATGTGCGACTGTAAACTTCTCTATAGCGAGATGGAGGCCCATATTGTCTCTAAAGTAGTTCTGGTGTAATCAGAAGCACCATGTCCAATATCAGGGACGTCGGAGAAGTCTGACATCTATCTTTTGATAGCTTAAGTGGGTGTACGACGGGATGTTGACCCAGCGATCTCATATTATAAACAACTTCTGTTGCGTGCGTTATTTGACTAAACTTGCGTACACGTATATTCTAGTACTTCTTCTACTTTATTATTGTGTCCTAACGTTGTGTTTGCTCAACGTCCACAACGTAAATCAAAAGGCACTTGAGGAGGAGTACGAACGTGTATTATGGCAGCAGTCAAATTTCAAAATTGTGTCAAGGTAATGTTCAACAACAAATTGACGAACGTTTGCGAAGAACATATAAAATCGGTCTGTGTAAACATATAATACAAGTATACAAATTAGATTAAAAAGCGTGTTTACAGTTGGTATAGGGGTACTACACTTCTTCCACTGTTAACTGCGTCTCCCAGTTAGTGGGTCATTCCAATGCTACAGGGAATAGAAGATGTACCAACAGTCGATGTGGATCACGGGCAGATGACAGCGCACCTCTTCGAATAACTGATCCATTAACATCCCTTACGTTAAATGCACAGTTATCATAGTTGATAACCTGTTGCAAGTATAATTTGAGTAGGTTTGGTAGTATATCAGCAGATAAACCTCGTACACTGGGTGCTGTGTCTTCTTGAGCTATATGCTTCAAAACATCCAGGTCATTCAAGACTTATTTGGTTAAACGAAAACCAGATTTAGCCAAGGCTTAACTAACTCTTGATGCAAGGGTAAGTGCAGACTTGTGATTGTCTAAAGGTGTTAAACAACCAGTTACATAGAAACAACAATCGACGCCATCCAGTAAATCACTAGAATTCAATATGGACACAACCTTACATAGAGCAAAATTAGCGCAAAATGGAGAAGGCATGGCATTAGATGGACGAGTCGTCATTCTGTATTCTGAAGTTCCACTATACGGATCATCATTAAACCACATAAATCTTAATTTATGTCTATCGTTTATTGTCACTTTCCTTGCTAAGAATGTTTTTCACACGACCTAAGTGACAGCATTCGAAGACTTTTAATCTCAGCAATAACCTGACCAGTGATCCCACGCAGCCGGAACAACTATATAAGTTGTAATCCAGCGACACACAATGTGTAAGTCGTTCCTTCGATCACGAACCCTCTGCTGCGAAGTCTCCTGAAGTCTCTTTTACTCCCACCTCCTCTTGCCTCAGCCAAAAGCCGGCCGTAAAATTGTCTTATCAAGGTAGTGTACTGATGCTACTGCCAGCACAGCTCTGTATTGTAAATTCTTGTTTCAAGATGAAGGGTATGCTGAAAATGAAGACTTTGAAAGCCATCTGCAATTTCTGGGCATGTATTTGACAGACAGTGGATGATAATTAAGTGATAATCGGTAAGACCTCGTTTTTAGACAGCTTGATGACGTAGAAAAATAGTTTGACTTTACTGAATTGCATGAGTAACCAAAGTTATTGCCAGACGCATACCTTCATGATAACAAAGGGTGCATGCTTTTGTAAGTGGCTACCTTCGTTCCGCACTGATG